GTTCAGCAGCAGTGCATGCACTCTTAATTTTTGGGATCCAATTGTGGAGAAAGTAGAGAAGAGGTTGGAAGAGTGGAAAACAGCATATTTATCTAGAGGATGTGCTTATATTAATTCAATCTCTTTTGAAAGATTTTCTTATCTCTTTACAATTATAAGCAAGTGGCCAAAAGCTTTGAGAAACTAATGAAATTTTTTTGTGGAAAGGTTTTGGAGAAAGGAATAGAATTCATTTGGTAAAAGTGGGAAATTTGGTTTTGTTGCCGTGAGAAGGGTGGTTTTGGGATGGGTATTTTGGACATATGATGTGATTGCTTGGGAAGTGGTTGGGTTATGCCTTACATGAAAATGGATAGGAATTCTAATATAGTGGTTAGAGGCTCCATTTCTTCTTTTGTTTCCTTCTTTCCTTATTTTCTTGTAGTGGTGGGGAATGGGGAAGTAATTTTGCTTTTCTGATGCAGGATAAGAATGGATAGGAAGAAAAAAGAGATCCGGACTCATCCCGGTCTTTGGCATCACACCAAAGGTTTCCAGTAGAGAAATTAGAAAATTCCGGCATCGCACTGGCCTTCGGCATCACACCGAAGGTGCCTTGGAATCACTCTCCAAGTCAACCTGTGCCTCACACACAAGCAGTAATTCACATAACTTTTTTCTTTCACCAACTCAGCTTTTAAAAGCTTACAAAGTACCCCTTGTTTTAGGCTAATTGGTAAATGAATCTGGAAAAGATCCACATTAATACACTTCAGAATGCTAGAGACTTATGAGGCCTAATACATTAATCATGTGACATAGAGGTAGGCTTTATTTTAGTTGGGTTTTGATTAGGGTTCATTTGGTCTAAATTTTCTTACTTCTCCTCTTCCTTGCTATTTTGGATCCTTTTTTTTAGAAAATCATTAGTTTTTGCTGTCTTAAATGATAGTGTCAGCAAAATATTGAGGATATCGGGAGTATTTTGCCGATATCAGGAAATTCCGGGGATACCGGGGATACCGGGGAAGAAATTATCTTCAGCACCCCCTCTTATTGGTGTTGACCCCCAAAAACACTTGCATATCTGGATACCAGCCGATATTTTAATCCTTGTATATAGACGCACATATATAATAAACAACACATTTCAAGATAGAAATGAAGACATCACGCAGGCAAACTAGGCGATAAAGGGCCTCAGTACTTCACTGGGACATTATCTCAAATATGGTGTAGGAAAATTGGGTTCCCAATCAGAAATTACAGAATTACTTGGTAAGGTGGGTTTTGAAAAAAATTTGGTGGTTTTAACTACATTGCTTTTTATTTATGTTATGGTTTATAGTGTGATACAAGGAATTTGTGGCCACAGGAACCTATCTAGCTATTTGCTAGTGTTTCCTGCCTATTCTTATGGTTCTTATAGTATGGTAAGCACAAAAAACTTAATGAACTTCGACATTAGTACTTGAATCTGTCAGAACGTCGACATCGTTACCAACAATGAAGGGATTATTGTGCTCATGTTCTTTTTGGCTTTCTGGAGATGGTTCAATCATAAAGCATGCTATGTTTTTCTAATGTCATTTTACCATTCGGAAATGCTTTTCCATTGTTTCATTTTGTATTTTTTTCTCTGCAGGAATTTGAGAAGATGTTGCCATCTGAATTATCAGCGGAACCAAAATATCAGCTTCGAAGAATAAGTTCAGCCTTTTTCTGAGTTGTCTCTGCACCCAGCGTTGTAGTTGTCAAGTGTCGGGACTAATATCTTGGCTTCATGTAGGTTCTCATCACCAGATGGCTGGTCGGTCCTGCCGCTGATGTGCATCTGACCTTCGAACCGCACCAGTAGGATCCTGTTGTGTACATTTATGATTAGCTGATCTCGTAAAATATACTGCAGCAAAAATGCCATGTCTATAGTTTTTAGTTCTGTTTTGCTGGGAATACAATTTCAAGAAAAAAAAGATTGAGTTCATTGTGTTTGAGGGTGCACATTGTTATGATTCTATTTTGGGCAAGCAAGGGGTATTATATATTGGTTTAAGCTGATTCTTTTTTCCTAAAGGTAACTTCCCAAATAGATAGTGTCTGAAAAAATGGCAACAACCTTTGACGATGAATGAAATTTTTGGAGCTCTCAATAGCCAAAATGAGTTATTTTAGAGCAGCAGTGTATATACAGAGTGCTACTTTTTCCACTCCCTTCTCCTATTTTCCCACACACCATCTTATCTTTTCACCCACCATTATTCGTAAAATACCCTTTAATTATTAATTCAAGCAAATTCTCTCTTATTATTAAATATTAATTTGATTTTCCGGACAATAACCCACCACGTCTCAAGTCCCTTCCCAAGAGGTTAGGATTTTTTAGCGCCCTTAGCCTCAAGACTAGGGTTTGCTAGGGTTCTGTAAATTTTTGCTTGCGTTTTATGGCTAATCTCAAGGGCATCTTTCTCATTACATGTACAGTGGAAGTTTAGTCCAAGCAGGGTTATCTTGTTGTCTTCGGATTGCGGCGGGAAGCATCGAGTGGACGATGGCGACTATTGATGATATGGTGTCCGGTCTAACCTCTCACTTGGCAATCTCATAATCTAAATAAGTTGAGGTTGTCAGGTTAAAAGATTTGGGGAACTTGAAGGCTGAACATTTCTTGTTGGTTGGGAAGTTACACACCTCAAAAGCGTTTCACAAGAAGGCTTTATTTGGAGCAATGAAGAAGATTTCGCATACAAGGGAGGAGTTCACTACGGTGTCTTTGGACGACCCCAAGAGATTCCTTTTTTCTTTCAAGTCTAATTTTGATAGGAAGAAGATGATGAAGGGATCCCCTTGGACTTTTGATAGAGCGCTATTACTACTGGCGGGTACTGATGGTGAGGTGGATTCCATGTCCATCTTAGTGGATACACAAAGTTTTTTGGTTAGAGTGCGGCGTATTCCGCGGCTATTTTTGACACCAGCCATGGGAGAAAAATTTGGGAATTTTTTGGGCACATTTTACATGGTGGATTGCGGCTTAAATGGAGGTTGTTTAGGGAGTTTCATGCTATTAGAGTTGGTTTGAAAATTAGTAAGCCGCTGAAAAGGTGCGTCACACTTAGACTTTTGGTGGATGAACCGGCCAAACAGTATGAGATAGAATATGATCGCCTCTCGTATTTTTGTTTATACTGTGGACGGCTGAATCATGTGGGTTCTTCATGCAGTATCAAGGCTTCAAGGGCTATAGAGGTTGAACAATGCGGAAGGTGGAAAACAATAATGAAGGATGTGTATTGTATATGGCAAAGAACAACTTGAAGGGCAAGTGTTTTGGTTAGTTAGACAGTGACTCTCAGCAGGAGGATAGAGTTCGGACGCCATCCAAGATTACAGGGGTGGTTTGATAGAGGCGGGTAGTGTGTTGGACTGCCTTTTGGTGTAAGTCTTTAAAAGGCACTGAGTGCACAAGGAAAGGGAGGTTGTGTCTCCTTCACAGGGTGCAGATGGTGTGGAGGATGGCCATATTTCAAGGATGGTGATTATGAACCAAAAGGTCTCTGGTTCTGCGGTTTCGGATACAAGTCAACATAATATGGCAGGGGACATTTCTCAAACCCTTCCTACTGCGACTCCTGCTCTCTCTAGGCCACTAGATTCTTTATACAAAGGCAGTAAACAACGTGGTTTTTGTGTGGGCAATTCTCAGTCCCAGAGGAGTCTCAAGAAGAGTAAGGATCAAACGAAATCAAGAGTTGTCTACAAAGAGGGGAGACAAGGTACTGATATTACATCTGGTGCTAGTAGCACACTCGTGATTGGTCCTGGGGGCTGGGCCCATCACGAGAAATGATGATATTATTCTGGAGTGTTCATGGTCTAGGTAACCCGCGAACATTCCGTGCTCTGAGATTCCTTCTTAGAGATAAAAAGCCTTGTGTTACCTTTTTATCGGAAACCAAAAAGACGGTGCACTAGATGGAGGGTGTGCAATGACAATTGGGTATGATGAGGTGTTATAGTGTTGGCAGAGAAGGATAGTCGAGGGTTTTAGCTTTATTATGGCAACAAGGAGTGGAAGTAGTTGTTCTTTCTTCTTCTCGAGGGCATATTGATGTCATTTTGCATGGAGTGGAAATAGAGGCTTTCTGTTTTACTGGGTTTTATGGTAATCCTGATACGAGGCTACGACAACACTCTTGGGATTTGCTTCACCAAATTGGAGGGTCTATTCATAGCCCACAGCTAGTGGAAGGTGATTTCAATGAAATTTGTAAGGCCCCAGAGTACTTTGGTTGAAGGTTTCGACCCATGTTGTAGATGAGGCCTCTTCGGGAAGCCTTGGATGATTGCGGATTGACTACTATTGGCTTTAAGGGGTATAAATTTACATGGTCTAATAGATGGCATGGTGACGGGAATGATAAACTTAAGTTGGATAGAATGGTGGCTAATGGTGATTTTTTATTTTATTTTATTATTTTTATGACTTGTCCAAAGGCAACAACGTATCATCTTAATTCTATTATGTCTGACCATCTTCCTTTGTTAATGTATGTGAGGCCCGATTATTGGGAGAAGAGGAAGATGCGATTTTTGTTTGAGGAGATGTGGACTACTGTTGAGGGTTGTCAGGACACCATGACTCATGCTTTGGAGTCTAAACTACATGGAACTGTAGTAAAGAAATTGAAGGCCTGTCAAGGGTCCTTGTGGATATGGAATAATGAATAGGTGTGGCATACCCACAAAGCTTCGGAGCCTCCAGAGGAAACTAGATGATATCCAAAGGAGAAGCTATTCAGTCGTAGTTGAGTATAAATAGAAAAATATAAGTAGGGAGATGGATGTGCTGCTGGAAAAGGAAGAGATGTTGTGGAGGCGGAGATCGCGTGTCTCATGGCTGAAATACGGGAACAAGAATAGTAGAGTTGTCCATGAACATGCAAAAATACGGGATGACAGAACATGATTAAGGCCATTGTGGATGACCACGGGGTTTAGTGTACGTCTACTGAGAACATTCGCATTACTTTCTGTGATTATTTTCAAGGTTTGTTTACTTGTAATGGATTAAATGAGTAAGGGGTAGTTACTGAGGTGGTCAAGCCGATGGTCACTCAAGCTCAGAATATGCACCTCAATCAAGCTTTCTTATGAGAGGAAATTGAAATTGCATATTGAGACAAATGTTCCCTACTAAGTCTTCAGGAGTGGATGGTATGCTGGCGTTGTTCTATCATAAGAATTGGGGGTGGTAGGTGATGATGTGGTTGGCTTCTACCTCAATGTATTGAATAGGGGCTCCAGTGTAAAAGAAGTTAATCACACACTTTTGACTCTTTTTCCTAAGGTGGACAAGCCAATGAAAGTCACTGAGTGTCAGCTGATTAGTTTCTGTACGGTGATTTACAAGATGATTTTCAAGATGATAGTTAACAGGTTGAAGCCCATTATGCCCCTTATCATCTCAGAGTTTCATAGCACTCTTTTATCCCTACATGGTTGATCATGGATAACATTATTGCTAACTTTGAAAATGGTGTTAAACCTTGATATGTTTAAAGCATAAGAGTAGAATGGTCTTTTATTGAGGCTATGCTTAAGAGATTACGTTTAATGATCGATGGGTGAGTCTAATCATGGATTGTATCTCCACTGTTACCTATTCTATCCAAGTTCAGGGGGTGGCTTCGAGGATGATTGTGTCGTTGAAAGGGCTGCGTCAGGGAGATCCTCTCTTCCTATATATGTTCTTAATATGTGCCGAGGGGCTGTCTGCTTTCACTAGAACGAAAAATGCTCTAGACGACGGTGGATCACCATCGTCTAATGTGCTACCAGACCGTCGTATAGGTGACCGCCATTTATTGTGACACTTTAGACGACAATGAGTCACCGTCATCTGTTAACCACTTAGAAGATGGTTTTACAATTTAGACGATGGTGATCCATTGTAATCTATTTGTCAATTTAGACGACAGTGAATCACCGCTATCTATTTGTTATTTTTTATCGCCTTAATGGTAATTAGACGACAATATAATTTCATTACCATCGTCTAAGTGGTGATATTTTGTAAGGGTATTTGTGGGTTTATATCACTACTACAAAAAGGGCAACGTTTCAGCTTTTACGAACAAGTGCCAGGGCCGAGAGAAGGGGCTCTTTCGGCCAACTTATGGCCGTGATTTATTAGGCACAAACAGTATTGAATAGGGGCTCCAGTGTAAAAGAAGTTAATCAGACACTTTTGACTCTTATTCCTAAGGTGGAGAAGCCAATGAAAGTCACTGAGTGTCAGCCGATTAGTTTCTGTACGGTGATTTACAAGATGATTTTCAAGATGATAGTTAACAGGTTGAAGCCCATTATGCCCCTTATCATCTCGGAGTTTCATAGCACTTTTTTATCCCTACATGGTTGATCATGGATAACATTATTGCTAACTTTGAAAATGGTGTTAAAGCTTGATATGTTTAAAGCATAAGAGTAGAATGGTCTTTTATTGAGGCTATGCTTAAGAGATTACGTTTAATGATCGATGGGTGAGTCTAATCATGGATTGTATCTCCACTGTTACCTATTCTATCCAAGTTCAGGGGGTGGCTTCGAGGATGATTGTGTCGTTGAAAGGGCTGCGTCAGGGAGATCCTCTCTTCCTATATATGTTCTTAATATGTGCCGAGGGGCTGTCTGCTTTCACTAGAACGAAAAATGCTCTAGACGACGGTGGATCACCATCGTCTAATGTGCTACCAGACCGTCGTATAGGTGACCGCCATTTATTGTGACACTTTAGACGACAATGAGTCACCGTCATCTGTTAACCACTTAGAAGATGGTTTTACAATTTAGACGATGGTGATCCATTGTAATCTATTTGTCAATTTAGACGACAGTGAATCACCGCTATCTATTTGTTATTTTTTATCGCCTTAATGGTAATTAGACGACAATATAATTTCATTACCATCGTCTAAGTGGTGATATTTTGTAAGGGTATTTGTGGGTTTATATCACTACTACAAAAAGGGCAAAAGACGACCAGTAAACAACGACGG